TGAATGTGGCGTGTTTGCAATCGTAACCTTGGCAATGACGGCAAACACACAAGTTCCGTACTCCGGAACATTTCACTGCTCGAAAACGACGTACAAAAGATCCCTGGAAACTCCTCTACGTCATCTAATTATCCACTGATGATGAGAGTAAAATAAAATTTAACTCTACGTCATCTAATTATCCACTGATGATGAGAGTAAAGTAATATTTAACTTTTTGAGGATGAAGGACCAATATATCGATATATTTTTAGGTGCTTGAAGTCGCTCATATGTTGCTGAGACGAGTATGATCTGATTCTTCGTCAAGGTGAGACATGTCGCTGTCGATCCACTTCGGTCCCGTGGAGAACCGGCCACATTTGAGTATACTCAGAGAATGCGTCGATCGAGAAATTATTTGGAATTTGAAACTAAAGGCCTATTCACAATACAACTTTCTGCGACGCGATATGCGACTTGCGACATATGCGACGAGCTGCGGCAGCGACACACGGTTCGCAATATTCTTCATGTTTGCGACGACCTCATGCGCACAAGTAATACTATGCACATGCACCCAGGGTCGCGACGGAAACTCCATTTGTGTCGCATGTCGCAAAAGTTGAATTTTCTTCAACTTCTGCGACAGGTGCATTGCGACAGCTTGCGACAGCTCGGGACAGGCAGTTTCTTGTCGCAACTGTCGCAAATCGCGTGTCGCGTCGCAGAAAGTTGTATTGTGAATCGGCCTTAACTTGTTACTTTGTTGAGCATACTAGAAAACTGAAAACTTTAGCAGAATAGCAATGAAAAATATCAATTGTGCACTTATAACCATGTATAAAAAATTAAAATGAAACAATTCTAGAACGTTTTCGTGTGACTATCATCAGTAGAACATCGTCACATAGTAAGAATCACTAAGACAACCAGTTTTATAGCTAGAGTAATATGAAAAGAAGCGTGAGAATACAGCACAGCTAGCGGTTATGCAAAACGCGTGTAGTGTGACCCTTTGCAGTGTATCTGAGAATGGTAGCAGTATGGACAAAACTGGTGAGTGCGTATTATTTGAAAAGTGTGAGTGCTACAACATTTTCTTTTTGCTTGCATAAAACAGGGTCACATAATACGCACTCACCAGTAATGAAATAAACTATGTGAGCACTCATATCACAACCATAGCAACAATTGAAAGTTTTCTGAACGATATCTTGCCACAATTATCAATGTAATTCCTGACTGATGTAATGATGAAAGTACAAGTTGCATGACAGTGGGAAGAGGAGTATGGAAGCGGAGTGTACAGTGACGATGAAAACCCAGGTGATCTGTTACATGTACTAGGAGAGTTGAGCTTGACAGGTGAAGGTGGTAATGATAGACGGGAAGGCCTCTTTTACGGGCAAAGCAAAGCACAATCATCACCATGTATCAGTACAGTGAGTAGTTAAACCCAACACGAATGAAAAATGTGAAATGGAATAAAAACAATATTTGTAAAAAAATAAATAAATTAAAATTAAAATTCAATATCGAACACGAATAAAATAAAATAAAAATATGTAAAAAATAAACAATATCGAACACGGAATTAATTCCGGAACTATCTACTCAACCAATTCATAATGCAATACCCGCACACTGTGTCAGTGATGGAACTCCGCTACCCGATCAACATGCAGAGACCACTCAATCACATGCTTAGAAGCCGCTCTCCACAATGGCCAACTCCCTCATCGCATTAACTGGACGATGGTAGGCCGATCGTGCACCGCGAATGCACATTATGGCTGCCCTGAGCAAAGCGAAGGACAAGCGACACCGCACATAGGCCATTAGCTGGGCATACGGTCGATCGGCAGTTGCCAGCAATGCACACAACCGCTTAATGAATGCAGTACACTCCGGAGCACAACAACCCGCCGTGGTAAAGACTAGAGGGGTAAATGAACCACGGTCGACATTGTTGATACGCTCGGCATACTCACTCTTTTTGCGGCGCTCATGTTGCTTCAGAAGATCACTGACAGGCTTGCTCTTGTATGATGCTGCATCCGGGTGCAAGATCCGGACATCGAAGAACGCATTCTGAGCCCGGGTCCAGAACCCACGAGCTCGGACATCAGCTCGGGCGTCGTTCGCGGTGTTTGTCGATGCCGATAAAAACACCTCGCCTGTGATCGGAGCAAGTACAGGCTCGACTGCCACATCTGAGCATACCTCCGTCAGAAGATCCGCCACGATATCTCTTACTTCATTGTGGCGAATTGTCGGGAAACCTCCGCGGGGGCAAATCATCGCATGCGTGGCGTCGAACGGCTCCCCACACACACAGCTCGCTGGTGTGTCCAAGAGAGACCAACCATAGCGGAGAGCTAGAGCGTCGCGGAAGTCTCCCTTGGACAGATGGTGACCATGGTCTGCCAGAGGCAATACCCCGAGCCAACTTGACACGCCTTTCGTGGATAAACTCTCCAGCCGACGAGCCAGGGCAGGGGACGCACTGCTTTTGATCGTGACGAAATCATTCTGCTCCCTCTGACGACGGTCATGCGCTAGCCGTGTCTTCTCGCTTAGGGCTGCCTGGCGAACATCCTCCGTGGAGTTATGGGTGTATTGATCATTCTGGTGTACAATCTCCTCCACCTGAAGGGCCGTTACAGCTCTCGACGCAGGGAGCTCTGCCGTACCCATTTGCTGAAAACACGGCAGGGCCATCCCCCCCCCCCAGTCGACAGGGCAGGCGGAGAAGGTTCAATTCTTCTGGTAGGAAGGAATCACGGCCCGCTAGAGCAGGTAGAAGCTCCTCCGTGATCACCTTGTCAAGGTCGGTAAGGCATTGTGCAGGGAAAGGTACTGTACGCAATAGGTAGGTCCACCTACCACGTAAACCATGAGATATTGCAGC